TCTTGAGCTACTAGCTACCTTAGAGAATAATCATAGTATCTGCAGTAATAGAAACATGACGGGAGAGAAGCCACACGCAGGAGGCCTGTGGGGAGGGCCCAGCCTTGCCTTTGTCACCGTGGTTCCTGTCTACTCAGGTCTTCTCTCTGCTCTCATTTTCCAGTCTTCAGCAATCTCCCTTCTTCTTCCTTGCCTCCCCTCAGCCCGACTGAGTTTTTAACCTTCTATTTCCTTCTCCTCCTCCCTCCTTTTTAGAATAAAGATGAAGGCTAATGTTTATTGAAGACTTTTTTTCTCCATGTTGAAACCATAACCACTTGCCATCGAGTCTCCTCTGACTCATGGAGACCCCACGTGTGTCGGAGTAGAATTGTGCTCCGCAGTTTTCAGTGGCTGATTTTCCGGAAGTAGATCACCAGCCTTTCTCCCTGGGTGCCTCTGGGTGCCTCTGGGCGGACTTGCCTTTGGGTGGACTTTCGGTCAGCAGCTGAGCGCATTATCATTTGCACCACCAAGGCTCCGTCTTAGGAGGGGTCCCTAAATAGGTCTGGAACCCTGATCTTCTGAAGGACAGTCTCTTTTCCACCACAACCACGTCCAGCTTTCTGTTTATAAGCTTCTAACCGGACTGTTATGGAGCCCTAGTAGCACAATGGTTAAGTGCTTGGCTGCTAACTGAAAGGTCAGTGGTTCGAACCCACCAGCAACTCCATGGGAGAAAGATATGGCGAGAAGCCTTCATAAAGATTACACCCTAGGAAACCCTATGAGGCAGTTCTGCTCTGTCGTGTAGGGCTGCGGTGAGTTGGAATTAACTCTACAGCACCCAACAATAACAACAGGACTATTTAGCCCTAGGGGGGCCCAATGAGTACCTGCTGTCAGCTCCAAGCACCATCAGTCGGGAGTCTGCTAGTTGTCTGGTAAACTGAGTTAACACAGGTCACCATCTACATCATTTCAGCTCCCAGCTGGGCAGTGGATACTGTGGTTTGCACTACCTGGCCTGTCTGTCTGCACTAGCCCAGGTAGCCAGATGTTTGCCAGGTCTTTTTCCCTACCCTGGTGGCGCAGTGGTTACAAACTTGGCTGCTAACCAAAAGGTCGGCAGATGGAACCCACCAGCTGCTCCTTGGAAACCCAGTGGGCCATTGCGCTCTGTCCTGTAGGGTCGCTGTGAGTCAGAATCGACTCGTCAGCGGCGGGTTTGGTTTGGGTTTTCTCTCCCAGGGAGATGGCTGTTTAGTTCTGTCGGTGACTGAAAACCACATCGTGTTGAGCCTTTGCACCGTCTGTGTTTGTCTACGACTGTGGGCTGTATCTCACACAAGTTCCTGAATATTGTCGCTGGAAGGATTACCAGTGACTTTTTAGTTAGGAAGGCGAGGCCCGGAGAGGGGAGACTAGGGGCCGGCCTGACCCACCCAGGTCTGGAACCTCTCCTGCCGGCCCAGGCCACCAGGGGAAAGCACTGTGAAGCCCTGATGGTTGATTAATCTCAATCCATAAATGGCATCAGACAAGAAATTGCAGGTCATATTTTTTTTTAAGTTTCTGACCTGTCCTTTTATAGATAACTTTTGTAAAGAGGAAAAGAGAGTTTAAAAAAAACAAAAACCCATCATTATCCAGAAGTTTGCTGGTCCCAGGTCACTGGGGTCATGGGGGCGCTGGGTCAGATCCATCCCCAGGAGTACAGAGGGCTCATTGCTGGCCTGATTTAGACATGTGGGAAGCCACACGGTGGTTATGTCATCCTAACTCCCTGTACTTACACTGCATCATGTATTTATAGAGCCAGGCACAACCACCCGTCACGGGAGAAGCTTGCATCTTCATCTCCCTTGCTAAAAAAAAGTTTGCCATGGAGTCTTCAAAAACAATGTCTGTACCCTAGTGAATAAACGGAGATTTGGCCAATAGGGATTTTTTTGGGCACCAGAATTAGACATACATTCCATGTTCATTCATTCTTCTGTTGATTCTACTTGTGGAATCATTATTTTTTGATGAATTGCTAACTTACAACTTAGGGAGATTTCAAATGCAAAAGTCTGGATTTCTGATTCTATACACATGTATATGTGTGTATGTACGTATGTGTGTATATGCACATATTCACACACACTATATATGCTCACCCATTCATACCACATACATATTTACACACATATATATTCATACATGCCTATATTCACACACATATATTTACACATGCGTGCACACACATTCACACACACATGTTCACACACACATATATTCACACTCTCTCACACATATACATTTACACATACGTATATTCATACACACATATTCACACACATATTTACACGTATATATGCACACACAGTTATACAGATATACTCACACACATATGTATTTATACACGTATATTCACACACACACCAAACTGAATCAGTGAAACATTAAATATGGATGAGAAATTAACCCTGAAGAATTGATTTAAAACTGTGCTGATTATAACCGTAGGCGGGAAACGCCTCCTTTTGCTTTCTCGTTGGGGGTGGGCATGTCTTGACGCCCCAGCCTGAGCCCTGCCGTCTTGTCTGGGTGGATGTTTCTCCTCTCGGAGCAGTTATCTGGTGAAACTGGGGCGACCACGTAACTGGCAGCTCTCATCACCTTCCTGATGGCCAAATCCCACACAGACCGTCTCTTTCACAACGGCACGAGGTTTTCTTGTTCTGATGACCCTTTCAGGGACTTACTCCTTGGGCTGCAAATGGGAGCCCATAGGCCAGATTTACCTCAGCCCGGACTCATTAGCACCACACAGTGCTTTGATTTAAAAAAGTATTAATTCTAATGTTAAAATTTGGGGCGATTTCAAATAAAAATGTCTGGATTTCTGACCTCTCTTTGAAAATCGGGAGGCCTGGTCACACTGGGCAGACGCTCCTGTTGTTCGAGTGAGTTATTTAGTGCTGGAAAGCAGCTGCTTTCTTTAGTTAGGCCGTGCGTTTTCCAGTTTGTCACAGGCGATCCATCTCACCAAGGGCTCCCTCACCCTCGCTGGCCCTCACCGTCACCAAACATGATGTCCTCCTCCAGCAATTGATCCCTCCTGATGAGGTATCCGAAGCAAGCGAGTTGGACAGTGTTCTGTCGTGATTCATAAGGTTTTCACTGTTTCGTTTTCGGAAGTAGATCTCCAGACCTTTCTTCCTAGTCTGTCTTAGTCTGGAAGCTCCGCTGAAACCTTTCCACCATAGGTGACCCTGCTGGTATTTGAAATATTAGTGGCAGAGCTTCCAGCATGACAGCAACACACCAGCCACCACGGTACGACAGACTGACGGACAGGCTGATGGGACTTAGTGATACCAGCTGTCCATTTCCAGTGCCTGTTCTGGCCACTCGGTGCCTGTGCCTTCCAGACTATTAAACGTTCTTCCACCAGCCTTGGCCCCAACCCAGACTGACTTCTTACGCCCTGCCTGGCCCTGTGAATACTTGAGTCTGCAACCCCTGCAATCCTCATTTCCCGTCTGTCTGACCAGCTCCATTTTGCTGGTTCCAAGACGTCCGAGGCAGCCTAGTGGGTGTGTTCCACTGGTCTGAAGGGCTAGGATGTGGAATTGCAGGCTTCTTCAGACCCTGAGCCCCTCTTCCCACCCCTGGGACACCGGCTGGTTTACTCTGCTGGTGTTTCTGCCTATAGCCCAGCATGGCCTTTGTGAGTGGAGACGGCAGGACAGGAGCTAAGCCACATGGGACCTGTCCTCCACAGGGCTTGCCTCATGAAGATGTGGATTCTGAAGATGCAGCGTCTGCTCTTTGTATCACGGATGTTGTTTCCTTCTCAGACTTTCCCCAGGTGAATAACAACTCATTGATTTTGCCCCTCTTCCGGATGAACAGCCTAGGTTTTAGAGGAAAGCCTGGTGGAAATAAAAATGCACACTTTCCATTTGTTACATTCCAGATTCTCAGTATTGCATTACAGCAGGAGAGGGACTCTTCCCACTGGACATCAGTAAAGTCCGGGCGTTGGTTGTTCCCTAGCTCCTTTCTCCTGGCTCATGTTACAGGACTCCACGTGCACGACCCTGGCATGACAGGTGGAGACTGAAAAGCTGGACCAACCGACAGACACGTGCAGACGTCTGCCACCACACAGATAGCAGTTCAGATGTTAGATGGAGACCGTCAGTTCCCCCAGGACTTCGTGGGAACACTGCCCGTGGTCGTTTTCATTTCTAAAGCAGGCCGTGAAATAGTTTTTGAAGGAACACACATGACAAATTCAAATAGAGGAGGAAGATAATGAAATATAAGTCTTCTTTTCACGCCTGCCCCCTAGTCCCTCAATTTTCTTACCCCACCAAGTATTATCCCTTTATTGCACGTCCTTCCAAACATCTCTCTGCCTCTCTCTTCCTCCCTTTCTTCTTCTCTCTCTGTACTCCTTCCCTCCCTCCCCTGAACATCTGTATTTTACACAAATGGTTCCTAGTATACACATTTTTTCCACCTTTCTTTTCTTTTCAACTTAACAGTATAACTTCAAGGGCATCCTATATCAGTACATATCTGTCAGCCTCATGGCCACACGCTAGTCCACTGCGTGGATGTATTATATTATGTAGCCAGCCCTCTGTGACAGAACAGTATTATTTTACTGCTTTCTCCACAAGGATCCTGTACAGTTTTTATTGTTTTGTTCTTAGATGTTTTATCTTTATTAGTTGTGCTTACAAATAAAAAACTCTTGTATTATTTTTTAGCACTATTGTTTGAATATAGAAAGGCTGCTGACATCTGTATATTGAATTTGTATATGCCCTCTTTCAGAATTCTTTTATTGTTTGTAATAGTGTTTCCCTTACCAAACTCTTTTCTTATTAGTAATAGTTTTTCACTTTGGTTATCAAAGCATACATCATTGGAAGATAATGATCATATTATCTCCCCTTTTAAATTACTTTCCACCTTGTTTCTTTTTCTTGTCCGATCACATTGGTATTACCTCTCCAACGATGTCGAATAACGGTGGGATAATGGACTACTTGTCTTTCCCTGACACGAATGAGCCTGCTTCTCGGGTTTCCCCGTTAGGCATGGTGCTTTTTGTTTTCTCCATTAAGAGGCATCTATTCCTATTTGTCATGTTTTATCCTTTTAAGGAAATATTCTTCTGTTTCTAATTTCTAAGTTTTCTCTTTTAACCGTGAATGTGTACTAAATTTTATCAAACGCCTTTCCACCATCTCCTGTAGTCCCGTGATGCTTCGCTGGCCCACGATTCATGACGTCTGTGGTGTCTGGCTCCTCATCTCCACTTCTTTCCTTCCTTGCGGTAACTTTGACTTTTTGTCCTTTTTCCCCAAGGCTTTGAGGTCTTGGCTTCTGCGTCCCATTACTGGCCGCTGGAACACGTGGATGGGATCCACGAGCTTCAGGACACAACTGGAGGTAGATGCGGTCGTGAGGGGCTGTGGACGTGGGAACAGGTGGCTCTTGGGGCAGGGGCGTCGGGAGGAGCAGACGTGGTACAGCATCTGCTTCCCAGACAGGACGATGGAGATGGATGCATGTTTGTGGGGCTTCCCCCAATAACTGTTGTTTCAAAATATTGTATTAGAACATTTAGATATTTTTATGATTGAAAGACAGAATGTATGATTCAAAATATTATTATAATGCTCATTTTCCCCAACAACCTTAAAACAGAAGCTCTGATGTTGGTGCAACCTGCATACGAATTCAGAAGTACGTTTTCTAGGTAGACAAAACTGGTATAATCAACACGCCTGCCAAGATGGGGGCCTCTTTGAACCAGGTGCCCAAGTTGCCAACTAAGAACGACTCAGCATCTCACTCAGCCAAGGCAGCCCCACCTGCCAGTCGACTTCTCCAGCTCGTCTGTGTCAGCTCCCCTTGAAACTATTAAATGTCGCCTAAGATGCTTTCGTCTCTGGGTGGTGCAAACGGTGAATGCGCTCATCTGCTGACCCAAAGATTGGAGGTTCGAGTCTACCTAGAGGCACCTCGGAAGAAAGGCCTGGTGATCTACTTCCGAAAAAATCAGCCACTGAAAACCCTCTGGCACGCGGTTGTGCTGTGACATGCGTTGGGGTGCCATGAGTGGGGGTCGACTGCACGGCACTTTCAACGGTGCCCAGGAACATGGAGAATAACGTCTCTGTCTGACTTCATTCAGATATCTGATAGTAGGAGGAACTCATGATATTCCTGAAGACTTTTCCAGTCTAATAGGAATGATTTTTAAAGGATAAGTTTCGAATGATTTGGGGGTGCTCTTACATTTTTAATTTGATTTATTTTTGCTGTCGACTGTGTCCCATGGCAGATGTGTGCAGCAAGGGGTGTACTCTACCCCAGTCCCCAGCAGTCCCCGTTTTCTCTCACTGGGTCGTGTAATGAGTTTGTAAAATACCCAGAGATTGCTAACTGCTATGATTTCCACACCAGCACACTGGGATTGTCCCTATTCCTGTGATTTGATGGTTTGCCAGAAGTTGCCACTGAAGGCCCTAAAATGTTTCCCTTAAAACTCGTGAATCGAGAAGCATTATAGCTGACACTTGTGCCCATGGTGTCCTCAGAGCCGTGCGTCTGGGCAGGCCCTTGGCATTGCTTCCCGGGCAGCGTGCCACATGGTGATGGTGGCACCACTGAACACTGTCCCGTGGCTTGGTATTTTCTCCAGCCAGGCTGCGCCGTAGGAATGAAAAGAGCCCCTGTGGATGCTTATTATATGGACAGTCAGGTCGAAGTAAACTGCTCTCTCTTGTCATAATCTAATTTTCTTTTCTCAGGCCTTTATTTTAAAACCTTTGAAAAGGGCCATTTCACCTGGTGGAAATGAGTTGTTGAAATAGCTCGTTGTTTAAGACACAGAAATTTAAAAATAATTAGGAGTTATTTTAAACAAGAGCCTGAATAACTGTTAGTGTCTGTCTTTCCTCAGCCCTTTGTCCCCACTCATTAATGTAGATGAAAATAGTAACTGTCAGTGTTTTGAAAAAGCTTTATCATGAAACATTCTTTTCATAAGGTGATAGAGTTACTCAAAATCAACTGCACTGTGGTCGAATTGTAGTCACCAAATGGATTGACTTCCAGTAAAACCTTCAATATATTCATGTTTGGCTGAAACACCTGAATGATGAAGGTTTTGCTGCATTTTCCTACTGGGTCCATTCTTCATGAACCAGTGCGACTCTGGCGTATTTCAATTTGATTACAGGCTTCTTAAGAAAAAAGAAAGAACAGAATCCATCAGCACGTCTTGCTGCTGGGGACAGTTGAATGGCTTTGGAAACAGTCCGTGGTGTGCAGCTTTGTTATTTGTTGCTGAATTCTGTGTTGTGTTGTCCATTTGTCATGATATCATGCAGTTGTTTCACCCATGTGTCTGTCCCATCAGTTCTGTGACATCACAGCCATCGATCTTTTGTTAAGACTGTTATATGGCCGAGTTCAAGTTCATATCTCTCAACCGAGCATTCGTACAGGAGGTGGAGCCAGCAAATTGGGACTATTGTTTTTTGCCAAATTCAGCAGGAATAATGCCTTTGAGTTATCATGCCCGGGCCACTGGAGTTGGCTCTGATGTTGAGTAGAGTGTGGGGTGGAGAGGTCAGGAGAAAAAAACCCAAGATGGCCCTTGGATGGAATGTTCGCATCCTGGGTGAGTTGGGTTGAGAGATACTCTGGTTCTGTTTGTGTTTTGTTTCACTCACGTGCTGTGCTTTTTCTTTTGTTGTCTCGTCCAGCCTCCCGAGCCCACAACCTCACTGTGCTCCCTCCCCATAACTCCACCTTTGTGTATACCAATGAGTCTGCCTACTCTAACTTCTCAGCAACTGTAGGTGAGCACCCGCCCACACGCTGGGTCTGCGTCTTGTCGAGCTGGAATCTGCGGTGATTTTAAAGGTCGATTCAGTTTGGTTCTAGATGAACCCACTCTGCCTTGGCTAGCAAACGAGCAGACAGCCCAGAAAGGAGTGACTGCTCCAGGAAGTTAAAAACCACCTCTCAGGGTTACACCTAAAGGAAGGGGCACAGGCCGAAGCCCATTAGAAGGTGTGTCAGGTCTTTCAGGTCCCCAGGACCTCCCAAGCCAGCTGCTTTGAGAACAAAACAGACACAAGATGAGCTCTTTTCTAAAAATAGAAGTTGTTTGGATTTTTAAATGGATTATATTCTTCGGGGGAGGAAAAGCGTACCTTTTAGTGGAATATTAGAGCTGATTTTAAAATACCTCCTCAGAAATGTGATGTCTCACAAACATTAAAATCAGCATTTCTTCTGTAGCTGGAATTCTTGTTTTTAAATCATTAGAAGCTGTTTTATAAAATACACACCCACAAGGGTCATAGTTAAATTATTACCTTAATTAATACCCTCTGAAGCCCATATGTTTTGTGTTTTTCCTGTGCAGCTCGGAGTGGAAGGGACACTAGCCGTGTGGCGTTTAGCTGATCAGCATAGGCCATTTCTGACAATTTCTGTCTCACCTTTTGATCTTTTTCCAGCACAACCTGATTGCTCTTTCAAGTTTGTGCATCACTGGGGGTTTACATATCGGAATGCAATCATCTGACCACTAGTTATCCAATTAACTTTTCCATCTGTAGATCCTCCCTAGTAAGAAATGAGCTAAAGGAAAAATGAGGAGTTATACACAATAAGGGCCACCGTTGGAGTCTGGCAGTGGGCGTAGGACACCCGAGTCGGGGTTTCTGTCAGGTCCAAAGGCCCCAGGAGCCTTCCGTAGGTCTCAGCCGGGCTGATATCTGCAAGGGCAGCAGGCGTTCTGCCCCGTACACGGCCGGAAGTTTTCTAGGAGACTGTGACCCTGGCTAGCAGTAAATGCCTAATCACTCCTGGATATTATAGCCCTCGCTTCTCCGTTTTGTAAACCATGTACCTCACACCCACACAGTCAGATGCGTCTGTTCTGGGAACCAGACAGAATTTAGCGCTGGGCGGAGATGGTACATCTCAGCCAGGACTGGCAGCTCTTGTAGCCAGTGGGCTCCTCTGGCCTGTGCAAAACCAGACTCAGAGTTTCCCACCTGTGGCCCCAAAACAGGCTCTTTTAAAACCATGGGTTCCCATGTCTAGGATTAGGGGCTCCCAATTAGAACTCAAAAGGAGAGAGAGTTCGGCTGTAACTTTGTGTTCAAGCTTGTACCTAAAAAAACCTCATAAAGCATGTTGATTGAATCAAAGTTTAGGACAGTAGGGAAAAATCCTCCTGTCCCTCTCGGTAACTAAACTATTGACAACTAGGATCGCTGTAATATTATTACCATATTTTTACGCAAACAATGCGGGTGTTATATGTTTTTTGCCAACCAAGCCCTCCCCCTCTGCCCGCCAGGTATTTTCATAAGTGCACTATGCTAATTTTTTACATGTTGCTGTAAAAAAATTAGCATAGCGTGCTTATAGAGATACCTTGGGGGAGGAGGGCGCGGTTAGCAAAAAAAAAAACGTATAACAGGCGCATTATCTGAGTAAAAATACAGTATATGTAGTTTCATTATGTGTGATTAATAAAACAATATATTATTAATATATTACATTAATATATAAATGTATAATACTATTATAAGTTGTAATATTGTAAATATATAATTACAAATATAACTAATGATATATACTGGAGCCCTGGTGGTGCAATGATTAAGAGCCCGGCCGCTAACCAAAAGGCCAGGCATTCGAATCCAGCAGGCACTCCTTGGAAACCCTACGGGGCAGTTCTACTCCATCCTGTAGGGTCGCTATGAGTTGGAATCAACCCGACAGCAACGGGGTTTGTTTAATAATACGTAAGTTGTTTGTAAGTCTGACACATGTCTTTAAATGCTTAATCTCATGAAATTATGGATGTATGATGTTGTGATTTTCCTCACTTAGATATTGTAGAAGGGAAGGTAAACAAAGGCATTTACCTCAAAGAGGAAAAGGGAGTCACGCTCCTCTACTACGGAAGCTACAAGAACTCGTGCATCAGCGATCCCACCCAGTGCGGCCCTGAAGGTGAGTGGGGCGTCCGCCCTGCAGTGTGTTTGTCGTGCATTCCACGTGCAGCAGCGTCTGCTCCCCTGGGCAGCGGCAGATGGGAGTGCGCGCTGCTCACTGATGGCAGAACGCAGAAATATTTCAAATACAAGTGTGAGGCCAGGGAGGGGGACGCAGGCAACTAGAATTCCAGCTGCCTTTAAAAAGACATAATACAAGAGACTTGTCCAGAAGGTTAAAGTCAAAACATTGTCTTACAGAGAGATGTGAGCTCAAAATATTCAATCTTGCAAAGGAAAAAACGAAACAAAACTCCTTAAAAAGCAGGTGCGTTGCTGTCGCGCTGGGTTTGGGCGTGCCATGGCGTTTGTGGGAGAACACTGGTGGTGTAGATGGGGTTATTCCTGGCTCTGGGGCATTGAGGATGGATCTGGGCAGGGCTGGCTTCTTCAGACTCATGCCCAGCCTTTGCCTCTTTTATACCCGTTGAGAGTGGCTGGGCAGCGGGGAGAGCTGCTCCAGGAAGTGTTTACAGGCCTGTGGTTAAAATAACCATGGAGAAAACACAAACTCATAGAAGAGACGTCAGGAATATACTCCTTTTAATTTATGTGTGTGTGTGTGTGTGTGTGTGTGTGTGTGTGTGTGTGTGAAAAGTAACTTGCTCTCTAGTCTCTGGGCTTCAGACAAGGGATGTCTGGGCCATGTATAATACTTGCTGGGAAATCGTTCTCTGCCTCCCAAACCAGCTCAAAGTCTCCCAGTTCCTTTATCCTAGGCAAAATGAAAATTGGTGTTTCTAGGGGAAAAAGGGAGGAAACAGTGGATCAGTGGTGGAATCCTCACCTTTTATGTGGGAGACCCGGGTTTGAATCCCAGACAGGGCACCTCACATGCCGCCACCATCTATCTGACTGTGGGGGCTTGCGTGTGGCTCTGATGCTGAGCAGGTTTCAGTGGAGCTTCCAGACTAAGACGGACTAGGAAGAAAAGCCTGGCAATCTGCTTTGAAAACTCAGCCACTGAAAACCCTGTGGATCACAACAGTATGATCTGCAAACAATCTTGGGGATAGCGCAGGAGCTGGCAGTGTTTTGTTCCATTGTTCCTGGGGTCCCCGTGAGTTGAGGCTAACAACAGCAACAGAGTTAAAAATAGAATTTAAAGACTCATCTGAAAGCTCTAAAGGCTTTTTGGTCATCAGATGGCCTTATCAAAACAGTGCTGTGGTGACTTAATTGTAAATGATCCTGGGGCATTTCAATAAAAATAAACAAAAGCTTCACAAGGCTGGGACACTTGCAGAACCCAAACGCTGGAGAAACAACTTTGAGGTCCAAAGCCCCGGCCGGGCTGACATATGTTGACTGTGAACCGCCCCTGGGTTCTAGCAGCCCCATAAACACAGCTGGTGTTTATTTCTCTAAGTTGAAAGCCACCCTGGGCGCAGTGCAGCGGCTAAGAGCACGTGGAGGGCGGTCACGCTCCGCATCACCTCTCTAGGCCTCGGCTTCAGGAAGTGGGGACATCTCCATGCTGGCTGTTGTCCGGGTCTCTAGAGAATGGCTTCTCTCCTGAGCAGAGGGGTTTATCTCAGATGGGGAGGGGAGAGGCGTATGCCCAGTGATTCCAGTGATGGGGGTTGGGGTGGACGAGAGGGGAAGAAGGCCCGGCTCCAGACCTGTGTGAAGTCTCACTCATGAGCTGGCTCGGCCCGTGGCTCTGTTTCGTTTGGCAGGCATGGGTTAAATTTTTTTAAATTAGCTTCCAACATTGGAAAATAGGAAATTTTCACATAAAACTATAGATTTCCAGTTTCTCTTGAGAAACTATTCCTGACTGTAATTGGCTGGAGCTAAATAGTGGCTTGTGTGGTTTGGGTGATGCTGTGATGCTGGAAGCTATGCCACTGATATTTCAGATACCAGCAGGGTCACCCATGGTGGACAGGTTTCAGCGGAGCTTCCAGAGTAAGACAGACTAGGAAGAAAGACCTGGTGATCTACTCCTGAAGATCAGTCAACGAAAACCCCATGGATCAGAACAGAATGTTGTCTGATGCAGCGCTGGAAGATGAGCCCCTAGGTTGGAAGACACTCTCAGCACACAGTGGCCACAGCAACGGACTGAAGCAGATCGACAATTGTGAAGACTGCATGGGACTGGGCTACGGTTCGTTCTGTTGTGCGTGGGGTCGCCATGAGTCAGAGCCAACTTGACAGCAGCTAACAGCAACCATAAACAGGGGCTGCCCCCTTAACAGTGGACGCTCTCTGCTCGGTTCCTTCTGGCCCCCACCCAGCTTCCTGAGCCTTTTACTCTTCCTGCCAGTTAATGAAGAACAGGGTCATAGTCTCCGAAACCAGACTGCCTGGGTTCAAATCCCAGGTCTGACCCGCACTGCCGTCTAACCTCTCAGAGTCTAGTTCCGTGTCTGTGAAATGGGATGGCAAAGCACCTTCCTCAGCGGGTGGTTGTGCAGAGCTGCCACACTCCTGGCATGTGGCTGGCCCGTCTGTCGGAGGCTTCCTGTGTCACCTGCTCCAGCCGTCTTCCTCCACAAGGCTGAATTTCTGACAAGAACACCAGTGTGCCAGCTTTGAGAGTGACCCTCTGAAAGACGACCAACATGGTTCAGCTTAGAATAACAGTGGCCCATAACTGTTAATGACATACTATGTGCCAATCACTGTTCAAATCCCAGGACAGGTGTGAACTCATTTTGTACCCAAAACACCGACAAAGGCCCTGGACTTTGGCTTCACATCCCGCTCTGTTAATAACTCCTTGTGGGAGTTGTTCAGTGGAATCTTTGGAGATATTTTCCATTTGGCCACTTTGTTTGTAGAAAGGCCCGATGTGAAACGAAGCCAGGAAACCATAAACCAGCATTGACTCAGTGAGACGATGCCATAGCTGATTCCGGAAAACCCCCAAAATCCTGAAAACAAACAACATTGTCATCCAGTCAATTCTGGATGACAGATGTCAGAGTAGAACTGTGTTTCCTAGGGTTTTCAAGGCTATGAGCTTTCAGAAGCAGATCACCAGGTCTTTCTTCCAAGGTGCCTGTGGGTGGTTTTGAACCGCTAACCTTTCAGTTAGCAGCTAAGCACTGAACCGTTCACACCACCAGGGACTCTGTGCCACGGTTGATAATATCTGCTAGATATCTGTCTCCCTCACTAGACTCAGCCCCACGAGGGCAGGAACTGTCCCTCTTGACCACTGCTGTATTTCCAGGCCCACCACTGCTTGGCACAGAGAAGATGCATATTTGCTGAATAACTACATCTAGTCTGTCTTAGTTAACTAGTGCTGCTGTAACAGAAATACCACAAGTGGATGGCTTTAACAAACAGAAGTTTATTCTCTCATAGTTTAGGAGGCTGGAAGTCCAAATTCAGGGCTCCAGCTCCAGGGGAAGGCTTTCTTTCTCTGTTGGTCCTGGGGGAAGGTCCTTGTCATCAGTCTTCCTCTGGTCTAGGAGCTTCTTAGTGCAAGGACCCCAGGTCCAAAGGACGACCTTTTCTCCTAGCAGAGACATCTCTGGGAACCCAGCTATTTTGTTCCTCTAAAGAAGAAGAACGCAGCATCAGGATTGGAGGAAGACTCATTAACAACCTGCAATATGCAGATGACACAACCTTGCTTGCTGACAGTGAAGAGGACTTGAAGCACTTATTGATGAAGATCAAAGACCACAGCCTTCAGTATGGATTACACCTCAGCATAAGGAAAACAAAAATCCTCACAACTGGACCAGTAAGCGACATCGTGATAAACAGAGAAATGATTGAAGTTGTCAAGGATTTCATTTTACTTGGATCCACAATCAACACCCATGGAGGCAGCAGTCAGGAAATCAAAAGACGCATTGCATTAGGCAAATCTGTTGTAAATGACCTCTTTAAAGTGTTGAAAAGCAAAGATGTCACCTTGAAGACTGAGGTGCGCCTGACCCAAGCCATCATGTTTTCAATAGCCTCATATACATATGAAAGCTGGACAATGAAAAAGGAAGATGAAGAAGAATAGATGCTTTTGAATTATGGTGTTGACAAAGAATATTGAATATACCATGGATGGCCAGAAGAATGAACAAATCTGTCTTGGAAGAAGTACAGCCAGAATACTCCTTAAAAGCAAGGATGGCGAGACTTCTTCTTACATACTTTGTGCATGTTATCAGCAGAGACCAGTCCCTGGAGAAGGACATCATGCTTGGTAAGGTAGAGGGTCAGCGAAAAAGAGGAAGACCCTCAATGAGACGGATTGACACAGTGTCTGCAACAATGGGCTCAAACATAACAATGATTGTGAGGATGGTGCAGGACTGGGCAGTGTTTTGTTCTGTTGTACATAGGGTTGCTATGAGTCGGAACCGACTCGATGGTACTTAACGACAACAGTAGCATCTCAAAGTGTAGGAGTCCCTGGGTGGTGCAAACAGGTAACGTGCTTGGCTGCTAACTGAAAGGTTGGAGGTTTTCAAGTCCACCCAGAGGCACCTCAGAAGAAAGCTTGGTGATCTACTTCCGAAAAATCAGCTGTTGAAAACCCTATGGAGCACAGTTCTACTCTGACACACATGGGGGCGCCATGAGTTGGAACTGATGACAATTTTTTTTTTAAATATGTTACGTAAAATTCTCTTGGGGAACAATATATCAAAGACCATCAGGTGTAGAGTTTTTAACTTTAAAAAATATGTGGGTAGAAATTGCCATATCTCCCAGGACCATGCTGAAACGTGAAGGGATTGAAAAATGCATTTAGAGTTGTATAAACTCAATCTTTTACCTGCTGCCTTGGCTGCAAGGGGGATTGGAGCTCCTCCCTCATGACACTGAAGTTGAGATCAATGTTCCTTTTGTTTGGATGGTGCCTCAGGCAGCACTGCTAATGCTTTCTGTTGCCACAGGCAGGTTCCCCTGGAATTGTGTCACTGTTGCTAGGCTTACTGCCCTTCTTCTGGGTAGACTGCATCTCCTGCAGGAGGGGAGAGCCACTGATCC